GAACCACTTAATGGGACTTGTTTGCGAGACATCGTGATTCGATTGTCGAATGAATTTCGGTCAATTACTGATGCAGAACTTGGTTTGAAGCCGTTCCAGAAGATGCTTGGTGAAATAGAGTTTATGAATGTCTCAAGTAGTTTGAATATGAAATTAAATTTACTTGTGGATAAATTAAATAACAAACTATTATCTTATGCAAAAGTTTTAAAACAGAGCTATAACATTATACAACCGATCTTAGCAAAAAATGAAAATCTATTTGAATATTCTGAATCTATAAATGGATTAGACTTAGTATCAAATGGATTGGCTGATTTTTGTTCACAAATTGCACAAGGTATCTAAGCAATTTATTATTATATATATCTAAGCAACTAAACAAACTTATTTAAAATTTATAAATTTCAATCTAATTTAATTTATTTTAGAATTGGCAATTCATTTGAGAAATCAAGAATGGAAAAATTTACATCTCTTGCCTTTTATGTATCCAGTTACTATGTGTGGTCCACCTAGTGCAGGACATAATATCGGACCTCTTTTATTATCTCAATATTGTCCAAAAAAGAATGTATTGTTATTGATTGAACATGCTATGTTTATGTCTGAAGGAGATATTACCCTAGCTCAAATAACTGCAGAAACAATAATTGATATGTTGTCTTATACAGATCATGTTAATGTTATTGGTCTTTCTAATAATAGTTCTATTCATTGCAAGGATGGTTTATTGAAAGCTACAGATGTTAATAAATTTCAACTATCACGTTATATTCACAGTTTAAATAGAATAGGTATTATTTTATACGTTATATATATTATAATTTTTTATTTATCATTACTTAAATTTTGTTCAAATTTTAGAAACAAATGATACAATAGAATTTGATTTTAATAAATTATTACAACATGTAAAAGGTGAAATAGTTTTTATACATTTAACTAATACACTTAAGCTTACATCTCATTTACGAAAAATAAAAAACATGATTTCTACAGAAAAAGTAAATGGCTACATAAAAACAATATTAATTCTTTCAGGTAAGTTGAATTATATAATAATATATTTTTCACTTATATGTGAAAATATGTATATGTACTTTTTTTGTAGATCAAGAATCACATTCAAATATTAAGAATTACAATGATATTGTAACTCTTCCTACACAAAATATACTAGGTTTTGAAGTATCAAAATTATTTTCTGACTTGAAATGTTCTGAGGATCATAAGAAAGATTATTATTTGTCTGATCCATATTTTGATTTGTATAGTAAAACTATGACTTTGTCTATTGGGCATATTACAAATAAAGCATTAATATCTTTAGATATTAAATTACGAAATTTTCTTGATGATATAACATATTTTAATGCTGGTGCACATGTATATGCTGTGCTATTTGATAATAAAGGTATAGTTTGGATTAGTAAAGATTTCCCAAGAATGGAAACAATAATAGATCAACCGCTCAGAGTTCATTTACATCATATAGAAAATATTAGTTATGAAACTGTAAAAATAATGATTGAAGAATACGAAGGTGTTATAAATGTTAAAACACAATTAGGCAAACAGGTATATTGATATTTATAAGTATATATAAAATTTATATATGATTCAGTTTTTAAATTTTAGAAATGGTATCGATGGAAACATTTAACATATACGGATTTAATAGTATGCTTAATATCAGCAACTAATGAAAGCACATTATCTATTGGAAAATTAGTACCAACATTGTCAATGAATATTTTACATCATCGTCTCGATCTTTTAATGCATAGTTTTACCGATAAAGAGATTCTTTGTACTTATCATAATAAACTTTTATCTTTATGTAAGTTATTAAATTTTAAAAATTTGAAAATTAAAAAAAGAAATGAATAAAAAATGCATTTATGTTTTAGCAATGGGAGTAGTCTATCTTTCTCCATGGTGCTTTCAATCCCCAACAGAACAACTTAAATTGTTAGAAACTGGAACTGCTGTAACAATGCAAAGTTATATGGCATATTTAAAAGATTTAACAGGCTTATTAGCTAATCCTGGTCTACATCAATCTGTTAAACCAGATGTAGCTATGTTGACTCAAATGTTGGCTTATTTTAAAATTAGACATATAGAAAGTGCTTTAAATAAATTTATCATAAGAAGGTATATTTATATTTTTTTAAAATTATTATTTTAAGAAACAGAATTTTAAAAAATTAGATATTTATTTTACTTTATTATAGATATATCATTGGAGTTGTAAGTGGAGTATTAGAGATATATCCAGGAATTATGCTCGATTCTGGTTTTGATCCTAAAAGAAGAATATGGTATGGAAAAGCATTAGAGCATCCTGGAAAGTTAGTTTTTACGTCTCCTTATTTGGGTGCTGGTGGTTCTGGATATATTGTTACTTTAAGTCATACCATTCATCGTAATTCGGAATCAATTATTAAAGATGATGCTATTGCAATCGTATCTATGGACGTAGCTTTAGGTTTTATTTCAAGACTTTTGAAAGAAATGTTTCCATTTTGTAATAATTTGACGGTAAAATGTTTTCTAATGGACGATAAAGGATATTTAGTATCACATCCAGCATTATTAGAACCGACTGGTAAAATCGAACAACAACATTTAACTCACAAGGAATTGTTGGTTGCAAATGATATATTAAATCATGAGCTATTTGTGAAGAAAAAAGCTTGCATAAATTATTTAGATGGTACTGTACAAAGATATTATCAATTTAATACGTCTCTTGATGAAGTTCTTACAAATATAGTTCATGGTGAACATTGTGTTAAATATCAAGTAGCAGCTGTACCAGGAACTAATATATTTTTAGGAATAGTTAATGTGACTTGTAATTTATTAAGAGCTTTTTGTCCATGTAGTACAATGGATCATTCGTGTTTAAATTGTAAAAGAATGGAGCAAACTGAATGTGAATGTCCTTGTGAATGTGCTTTATATTATTCTAATTGCGCAGAATATACTATAAATGAAATAAATCTCGAACCTTGCCCAGCACCATATGAACAAGGAGGAAATTCACAAATGTCTTGGATACAATCTACAAATTTGAAAACGTGTCCATCAATTGATTGTAAGATATTTAAAATGGAAAGTGACTGTTTAGGAATTATAGGTTGCCAATGGTGTCACATAGACAATGATGGAGAAACACCATTGCAAGTACCGTTTTGTAGCGATATGTCTGTATGTTTTAGAGGCATCCTTGGATCTTTTATGCCACTTAGTGATGGCACTTATAGTAAGTGATTGTAATGAAATACAATATATATTTTTTATTGTTCTTTTTTTTTTTTAATGTAATTCTTTTTAGATTCTCAATCAACAGAAGAAATTACAATACGTGAATGGCCATCAGTTGGACCTGTAGCTGGTGGAATATTAGCATTTCTGTTGATATTAGGGTTAATGCTATTTTGTTATAGACTTCGATCTGTTCAGTCTGGTTTAGAACATCAATGTTTACACATACATACTTCACCTGATATGTTACGTATGACTCACTTAGAAGGCGATGCAGAACCTATGGAATTGGAACAAACAAAAAACAATTTAGATTCTTTTATAAGAGATAGCATAGAACCTATATCACCATATAGAGTTTCTTCAAATTATAGAAAACCACCTGGAGGTGATAGTGATCATGGATATAGTACTATGACACCTCATGATGATTCTGAGCAACAAACATTTGCTGAACCATTACTAGTAGTTGGTAATAACACTGAACCTGATTTAAGAAGACAATCTATTTGTCTTCCTTCTCCAATAACCCATTTAGGATCTCCTCATCATGTTTTAGCGCCAGTTACCGTTCATTGTAATATGGAAGCAAATTTTTGTTGATTAGAATAAGCAATTATCAAAAAATTTTTCGTATCATTTCTCAACAGAAAAAATTCAATTTGATAGAATTGATATAAAATATAGTATAAAAAGCAAATTTTAATTTTCAAAAAATTTATAAAAATTTTAAAGAATTTTTTTAGATATTAAAATTATATTTAAGATATGAGTGTTTCAAAATGAATAGTATAAGTAGACAGGCGATGATTTTGAAACACTTTATATAGTGATATAGACTTATAGGTTTTATTATTTTTTTATTATTTTAATTAATACTTTAAAAATTAATATTATTAATTCATTAAGAAAAATTAACAAAAATACTTAATTATAAATATGTGAATATAAATAATGAAATTAAATATGATTACTGACTCTTACCGCAATGGTAATGTTTGATACTGTTTTTTTACATTTTTATAGTTAAAAACAATATAACAAATGTAAATGTGTTCGTATTACTTAAAATAATCATATATTTTTTTAAAAAAATTGAAAACAAATTGTGCAATTTAGATATCACATATTATTAATACATATAATAAATATATATGTATTTTAACTTAAATAAAATATCTTATTTCATAATTTGTTTTCATTGTATATTTTTTACAAAAAAAAACATAAATTGACTTTGTGTACTGTGTAATGTAAGCTACATAATTTAAGATTTTTAATAGAATTTATTGAATAATATAAATTCGCGTAATCGTTAAATACATATATACATTTTCATACATAATAATATTTTTGAAAAAAATTTATAATGATTATTCATTAATGACACAAATTTTTATAGCAAAAAATCATTCTTCAGATATATATATATATACTTCATACTTAATATGTGACTGATTACTTATTATTTCATCTTGCCAATTCATATGTATAGTAAATAAAAATTTTTACTATTTTTGTAACTCGTGAATATATAATGACTACTTTTTGAATATTTTACATGTTGATCAGTATTTTAATTATTAAAGTATATAATTATTGTTAAAAAAATGTAATTTTATTACTATAATAAATGAGAATACAAAAAATTAGTAAAACTATTGATTTATTTATTATTAAAATGTTTCAGCGATTCGTAAAAAATAAATCCATAATAGTTTTAATTAGTTTTGATCTATTGTTTAATTCACGAATTATATATCAAGAAGATAATCTGTATACACGCAATAGTTTCATTATATTTAGTTTATATAAAGCATGTTTTTCACTTAATTATTTTATAATTAAGGTATAAAGTCCGGATTTTTCCTTAAAATTACAAAACCTTCCATAATTGGTGTTAAAGGAATATATTCTTCAGTTGCAAGTTCTGCTCTTTCACCATAAGCTAATAAAACAGGAGTTGTGTGTGTTTGAAAACCAGTAATAGTTTTAGGTTTTCCCGCTTGACCTACGACATCTACAGCAAGACCGACTCTTACTGGTACAGCTAGAGGATTTAACTTTTCATCAAATGTTACTAACATTCTCGGTTGCATTGCAACTGCTAATGTATATAACAAATAATGAGATCGACCTAAAATAACTGAAAACAAAAATCATATTTATTTAATATATCTTAAATAATCATAATATTTAAAGAAAGTTCATACTTACTGTTTTTTACATCAAGAAAACCAATTAATGTAGCTAAAAGTCCAGCAAGAGCTACAGGACTTAATACTTGTCTATCACTATGATATGGAGACAAAGTCAAAGTTCCTTTACCAAGATGTGTTAAACCTTGTGCAATACGAACCATGAACAAATTATTTGGATCTTTTGCGTGAAACTGAGCAAGTTGTCTTAACATTGCTGCCAATCTTGCATTATTTGTTCCAGCTCCAACTAAACCCATTGCAAAGATAGCATTATGTGCTACTTCTGGATCACTGTCATGAGAAAATTTGGATAAAGTATCAAGTATATTCAGTTTCGGATTGGAAACTGATATAAGTCCAAGTGCAAGAGGAACAGATCGTCTAATAACAGGTTCACAATAACGTAATAAATGACCAAATGTTCTGTATGCCATTTCAGCACCAATTTCTTCTCCCATTGCAATTAAAGCAATACCAAGAACAGCAATTGCCTGTCTTGAACTCAAATCCTTTGTTTTATCTTCTTTTTTTTCTTCTTTCTTATCTTTATCCTTACGATCGCTTTTGTCTTCTTTTTCATTTGATGGTTCGTAATGTTCAGAACAAATATGCAAGAGATGTTGAATTTTCAAGACATTGCCAGTACCAGCATATGCACATACTTCTACTAAAGTCGTGGACATTGATTTGAAAGGTTCAGGTACTATTTCTAAGGCTGCTATTATAGCTTCTGCAGCTTCTTGCTTGCCTAAGAAACATAATCCGAGACCTAAAGGTAGAAATCGAGCGTAGGTATCTTTAAGATCTGCTTCCGACTTCTCCATAAGAGCATGCATTATTGTTGTTGTAACATAAGCATTGCAAGAACCTACTGCAACCATTCCTAAAGCAAGACCTGCTACACCAATCACTTCCCAACTAGATTTAGGATCGCTAAGTACAGGAATTAAAAGACCATAAACGGCTTCTCGATTTGATCCTGCATATGCTAATCCAAGACCAACGATTGCACCAATACGCATTGTGTTACTACTGTGTAACACATAATCAGATAAAAGAGCTAATGCAGGATCACATTCAATCCTCACGCGACAATTAACAAGACCACAAGCTAATAAAGCGCCAGATTTAATATAATCTTCAGAAGAATAAAGATATTTGTCTATTGGTGTTAAGCCCCCATCAACATCCCATAATAAAACGAGACCAAGAGATGCTGTTGCACTGAGCATTCCATGTTCTTTGTTTTTATACAACCATTTGTTTCCATCTTCAACTAATAGTTTGTCTTGCCCAAAAGCTGCATTCACAAAACCATTGACAAAACTTGCAGCAAGATTTTGTCTTGCTGAATCTACTTGACCACCACCAAATGGAGATCTAGAATTTTCTAAGTGTGATTTGTATACATCTTCTGGTGTTTTTGGTTCCATTATATCCAATTCACGAGCAAGATTGAGGAAATGATAATTTAATAATGAATTGGACATGATTTCTACCAAATCATCATATTCTGGAGTAGATTCTGGAAGTTCCAAAAAAATCTGCTGTCTACCTAGCATAAATGCTAACTGTTTCTGTATTGACCTAAAAAATAAGATATTATGTATTAATTTAAATTTTGATAGATAAAATTAATTTCAATAATTTAACTTACAAATCAGTACAGTTTGTAAATATATCTTCAATAAGTGGCAAATCATTCAATTGCATTGCCAATCTAACAGCTTGAGGATATTGACCAAACTTTCTGTATAATTTTGCAGCAGCATGAAGTAAAGTACTATTTTCTGGATCTGCCACATAAGGTACACAACTTGTTAAATATAAACAAACTCTTTGATATGCACTTTCATCTACATATTGTTCCAATAAATCTAATCTTTCAATTTCCATCAATAAATCACAGGCTTCAGTTTCTGCATTATGTGCCATGTTATAAGGTACAATTTCATGTACTAGAGCTATTAGTTTCTTACTAATAGCTTCTGCATCATCTGTTAATTCATCCCATTCACCAGCTAACTCTCCTGATAAATGTCTAACATATTCATGTCCCCATTCTCCAATAGCTAAAGCAGATCCAGTAAGTCTATATTTAAGACATTCTCTACCTTCACCCATTGTCATAGCAAGAACAGAAATAACATCAGAACATAATTCCTTGGACTTTTCATCTGTTATCTTTTCATAGATGGATTTCATAGTATCATAATGAGGTCTCATAAATTTAAGAGGTTTTGGAACACTGGTCATTGATGTGGTAGATGCACGAATATGATTACGTAAAGATTCTAAAGCTAAATAATGTAAACTTGTATTGGGATCTTGTAAGCGTTCGACGAGGTTAGTTAACTCTTCTTGCAAGAGTTTATCTTCTTCAGACTAAAAAAATACGTAAATTAAATAATGTTAAAGTCTATATAAATTTTTTTAATATTATTTTTTATTTATTAATATTTTATTTATTTTATTTATTTATGTTATTTACATTTATAACACAAATAAATACAATTTTTCATATTTTTATATATATATTTATATACATAAAATTATATATTTTGAAATAATTTTTCAATGAAAATAGAACTTACCAATTCATTTTTATCTTCTTCTTTTCCGCTTCTGACTTCCTTATTCGTCTTTGATTCTACTTTCACGCTTTCAGGCATTTTATTTTGAATTATTGCATAAAATGAATGCAAAATACAAAATTCAATTCTACCTTCGATCTACTTATAATCTAGGTTAGAATAAATGTAAAACTTATTTGCGAGTCACCGCTATTTCTCACGAATCAGAGATATAGTAGATTTATATATAACGTTAATTTCTGCATTTCCTAGTTTGAGGTTCCAAATTTGTTCACTAGGTGGATATTTTGCTTTTACCATAGCGTTACTAATATGTAAAAATTGTAACAATCTATGTTATTTTTGTTCAGTGTATATTTTAAGTAATGCTAAAAATTACTTTTATATATTACTGATAAATAAGTGCTTTGCTTCATATATTGCTAATTATATACAATTATATTATGTATAAGTTATAAAAAATTATAAGGTTAAGTTACTTATTGATGCATTTTACAATTAAATGATTTTACTGTGATAATTTATGTATAGACATGTAATCGTGTTAACTTAAAAAAACAATTGAATCTTTAGTGTAATTGAAAAAAGATAGAACAGCGCAAAAAAAAGGCGGCGTTTCGTTTCGAAACCATTAAATAGATTTGTCAATGATAGAAGTATAAATGATGATATGATTTCTTTTTTTTTTTAATGAATTAATATTTATTGTGAAAAAAAAAATAGAAAATGTAGAAAATATAGACAAATAAAGACAAAAAAATTAATAAAAAGGCTAGTGATAAACATGTAAATATAATTTTGATATTTTTATTGTGAACATGGGATAAAATTTAATTTCTAAAATTTATATAAACTTGAGAAAATTAAAGACATCTATCGGTGGCGGGCTAAACTATTGGTGGAGTCATACGTTTGTGGACGTGACAAATTGTGTTAAAATATATTAGGTTGTAAACGTTGATTTATTAATACGATACATTAAATTTTTTAAAAATGAGTCGCAGAAGAGTTCATGAAGAGGAAGATGGATATGGTAATTTCATTTTTTTATATTAATTCAAAAATTAAAAATTATAATCATTGAAAAAATTTTCTTTTTGTATTATAAAAAATTATATCATTTCTATATAAATTTTTTTAGAACGAGCATATAAAAAACGTAGGAGAGTATCAGAGAATCAAGAAATTGAAGACCGACTTGAATCTCTTATTTTGAGAGTAGGAGAAAAATCTACATCTTCTTTAGAAAGTAACTTAGAAGGTTTAGCTTCAGTGTTAGAAGCTGATCTTGGACTCTTTCGTAGCAAAATTCTTAGGATTCTAACTGAATGTGCAATTAGAATGCCAGAAAAATGTACAATTTATACCACACTTGTTGGATTACTGAATGCAAAGAATTTTAATTTTGGTGGTGAATTTGTTGATTATATGGTGAAAAATTTTAAAGATGCATTGAAAGCTTGTAAATGGGATGTAGCTAGATATTCATTAAGATTTTTAGCTGATTTAGTAAACTGCCATGTCTTATCTTGTGGATCTTTAATGCAACTCTTTGATAATATGTTAGATGCTGCTAATGAAGATGGTGTTCCTCAAGTAAGACGTGATTGGTATGTAAATAAAACTATTTTATATGATTTTATGAATGATTTCAATAAATAAAAAAAAATATTTTTTTACTATCATTTATATTAGGTATGTCTATGCTGTATTATCAACATTACCTTGGGTAGGAAGAGAATTATATGAAAAAAAAGAACAAGAGTTAGATCATTTAATGGTAACAATAGAGATATTTTTAAACAAAAGAAATAAAAAACATCAACCAGCCTTAAGAGTTTGGTCAAGTGATACACCTCATCCTCAAGAAGAATATTTAGATTGTTTATGGGCTCAAGTGAGAAAACTTAGACAGGACAATTGGGCAGAGAAACATATTCCTAGACCATATCTAGCATTTGATTCAATTTTGTGTGAAGCATTACAGCATAATTTACCTACTATAATGCCACCACCACATCATGAATCTTATTCTTATCCATTACCTACAGTAGTATTCCGCATGTTTGATTACACAGATTGTCCAGCTGAAGGACCATTATTACCTGGAAGTCATGCTATAGAACGTTTTCTTATAGAAGAACATTTAAGACAAATTATCAATAACTATTTTTTTGAAAGAAAGGATTGGTATATATTTTATTTTTTTATTTATTATATTATGTATTGTAGTATTTCAATTGTATAATTAAAAATTCATATATAATAATTTACAGTGCAGCTCAATTATTAAATTTTCCATATAAAGCAAAAATACCATTAGATTATTGTATTGTTGAAGTAATATTTGGTGAACTATTTAGATTACCAGCACCAAAGCATTTAGAAATATGCTATGGATCAATTTTGATTGAACTTTGTAAATTACAACCATCAACAATGCCACAGGTAAGAATATAATTCAAAATTATAATATAGATAAAAATAAAAATATTTATTAGTGTATTTACCTATATTAATATAGGTTTTGGCTCAAGCGACAGAAATTTTATTCCGTCGTATAGATAGTATGGCTGCAACTGCTTTCGATCGTTTTGTATGGTGGTTCGCATATCATCTAAGCAATTTTCAATTTCGTTGGTCTTGGGAAGACTGGGATTCTTGTTTACAACGTGATCCAGAGCATCCACGACCAAAATTTATTCGAGAAGTATTATTAAAAGCTTTACGGTACATATATTTAATTATTTGTAATGATAATTAGATTTATAACAGTTTAATGATAATTAAATTTATAATTTATAATTTATACTTAGATTATCATATTACCAAAGAATACGGGATATGATGCCTGAATCATATGTTGAGCTAATTCCTGCACCTCCAGAACCTATTTATAAATATACTTCTGAAGGTGCCAGTAAGTTCAATATTTTTTTTTTTTTTGATATTATTCAAAAATTTTAAATAAAATTTATTTAAAAAAAAATTTTTTTTAGGTTCACTTCCAGGTACAGCAGCAGCTCATGAATTAGTTGTTTCGATTAGACGTAAATGTACACCGGAAGAAGTACTTAATGTGTTAAATACATTACCAGGTCCTAGAGAAAATGAAGAAACAAATAATTTCAATCCTTTAAAGATTGATGTTTTTGTACAGACATTATTAAATTTAGGTTCGAAAAGTTTTAGCCATAGTTTCGCTGCAATAGGAAAATTTCATTATGTTTTTCAAGTAAGATTTTAAATTTTAAATTTTAGATTATAAAAATTATTTATAATCTAACTGAATTAATTACTGTATGTAATAAATTTGTATATTTAGGTTCTTGCAGAAACTGAAGAAGCTCAAATATGTATTTTGAGAAATATGTATGCATTATGGAAGAATCATTATCAAATGATGGTGGTTTTAACTGATAAATTTTTGAAAACTGGAATAATCGAATGCAGTGCCATTGCCAATTGGATATTTTCTAAAGAGATGGTGTCAGAATTTACCAAGTATATATGGTTTTATTACAATATTGATTTAGCAAATATTTATATATATATATTTAATAAATTTGTAATTCTTTTTTTCAAGATTATATATTTGGGAAATTCTTCACTTAACAATTCGAAAAAAGAACAAACATGTAACAAAATTAAGCACAGAATTAGCGGAAGCTCGTGAGAAATTGAGAAGAGCAGAAAGTAGATCAGGTTCATCATCAGAGGATGAAGACAATAACAAAGATAGAAGTAGGGAAAAACCATCAGAAGATGTAGTGGAAAGAATGGAAGAAAAGTTGGAAACAGCGCAAGCAGATCAGAAAAATTTGTTCCTTATCATTTTTCAGGTATAAATAATTATATTACTATTGTTATTATGTAGTAATAATAAAAATATTAAATTAATTAATTATTTGTTTAGCGTTTTATAATGATTCTTTCGGAACACCTTGGACGATGTGATACTGATGGAATAGACTACAATACTCACTGGTACAAATGGACCATAGGTAGATTACAGCAAGTATTTTTAACTGTAAGTTCTCTAATGATATAAATAAAATATATTTTTTTGCATTTAATGTTAACTATTGTTTATCTTTTTTTATTTAGCATCATGAACAAGTTCAAAAATATTCATCAACATTAGAGACTTTACTTTTTACACCAGATTTGGATCCTCATATCTTAGATGTTTTCCACCAATTCGTTTCTTTACGAGCATGAACATCATCTTCTATGGTAATCATTTTATTATATAAAATTTACTTTAATTAATTAAATTTTTGAATCTGATTTTTTAGTTTTTAATAATTTACATGATCATTGTTGTATAGATTTTCATGACTTTTCATAACTTGCAAATTACAATTAAAAAAAAAAAAAAAAAAATTTATATTGGAATGTATTTTGAGGTATGACATAACATTACGTTAAAAATTTTGTATTACGATTTAGTACGCGTTGATGTAAATATATTTATACACATTTAAGTATATTTTTTTTCAACAAAATGTTACAAACAGTGAATATCATACATAACAGTATGTAATGTAAATAAAAGTTTAAAGAACAAAATTGTATTAATAGTTTCTATTGAATATATAACTAAGATACATATTAATGATTCATTCAAATTCATGTAGTTGATAACAACACAGTAAAATAACTCATTGCAGTTTGAATAATCTAAAATAATAATAATAAATTTAAATAATAATAAAATATTTTCTACTAATTCTTATCATTATTTCAGATAAATTACAATAAGAGATTCTTACTGCTAAAAATGTTTGCATAGACAAGGTTGTCATTTTAAAAGCTGTCAATTTACTAAATATCAAAGATCTTGCAAGTAAAAATTTGTATAAATTTTGATATTCTTTAGAAAAAATATACCAGGTTACTTTGCACCTAAATTAATTAATCTATAATTAATTAAAATCCAAAAATAAAAAAATAAAAAACTAATGAAATATAAAATATTCTTACACTGAGATATGCACTTCTTCGCTATGATTCAATAATCTTTGCCCAGGGAGACAAAGAAAAAATATGTGAACAGCTTGTGCAAACGTAAACGATCCAAATCTCATCATTTCGCTTAAATTACCTAATTTTATTACAGTCTAAAAAAGTATTTACATATTTAAGTCAAAAATAAGCTGTTTAATTAATTATATAAATACTTACTTCAACTCCTGTAATGCTAAGACAAAGAACATTAAAGAATAACTGAACAAGTATGGATTTAGTAAATAGTGATTCAAGAAGATTTGAATATCTACGAAAAATGGAATATATAAATGCTTTTTATCAAAAAGAAAAGAGTATTAATGTGATAGAACAAGTACTGACTTTATTGCATTTTGATGATTTTTTATGCAAATGAACAATTTTCTGTAAACTTTCTTCTCATTTCTTGGTAATAATTTAATATTTTTATATTTTTCGGGTAAACGATGATTTGTGATATTTATCAAATTATTTGTATTCAAAATATGTATAGTTTTCAATTCATAACTAGGAAAAAGTTTTTTTGAAATAAAATGTTACGAAATGTTTGGGTTAATAAAAAAATAAGCTTTACCTTACAATTGCAAATAAAGCATAGGCATGTTGAGCATATAGCATATACATAGTATCACAAGAAGCAATTAAATTCGCGACCATAGCTGTTCCAATGTATGAATGTATAGATATATAATAAAAATATTGTTGTTTGTCCATACCATAATCAAGTTCAAATAGAAAGTTTCTTTTTTGAGAATGATTGGAGGATGTAATGAAATCAATTATCAGTGGTATTGTTGGTAATAATAAGTAAACTAACAATGTTGTGTAAACGTATACTAAAATAGAGATGAAAAATTCTTCAGTCTTAAAAATTTATGAAATGAAAATTTTTCATTTTGAAACCTGATACACTTACAAATATAATAAAATGTAATTTTTTTTCCTTGCATATCATATTTTTGAAGAATTATATTTTCTGGATGATTTATATAATATTTATGGTCATTTTTAATGAATAATAATATATTTTTAATCTATAATAAAAAAAAAAATAAAAAAACATAGTTTTATAAAAATGAGAAAAATTTATTCTAAAACTTTATTCTGAAATTATTCTTTTTGTAAATTCGATTTTTTTGATTTGTGAATTTTGAAATTTTCGGAAATTATCAGAAAATTGAATAAAATAGAATAAATATTTATACCTTTTTTGTATTAAAAATTCCGTTGAAGTACATCGACGCACTTTGAAAAATTGATATGATTGGTGGCATGCATTCAATTACTGCATCATAATTAACTCCCCACACACTATATAATCCTCTAAGCTGAAGAAAAAGAAAAACAATTATAAAATATAAAATTACAAATAAATAAATAAAGTTCTAAGAATCTATATATAATAAATATAATATAATAAAACTTTATTCCATGCCAAATGATTAATTTTTTCATATACATATATATGCATATATATACATATATATATATATATATATATATATAGGATCTCTGATTTTAAGAATATTAAAATTTGAAATATATTAATTTCTGGATCAGATTTCTCCATGGTTAAAACTATTAAAACAAAGAAATATAATAAATATTATAGTTTTATTAACATAACAGCATAGACTGCTGTGATCAATCATTGTAAAAAAATGTGTATATATGATTAAATAAAAAAAATACTACGTATTTTAAATGAAGAAAGTCTCGTATAAAAATGAAACTAGCAATTCGTATATTATTCTTAGTTTTGCCTATATCGAGATCATACAAATGTCTTTCATTCCAAAGAATTATCTCACTCTAAAATGAAAATCATTCTATTACAAAGAAAATTTTTCTGTACAATTTACTTACAACGTATCGCTTAATAACAATCGATCGTTATTATCACTTATTAAGCAAAACGTTTTCTATGAAATGAAAAAAAAAAAAAAAAAAAAAAAAAAANAAAAAAAAAAAAAAAAAAAAAGAAAGAAAAGAGCGATAATCACCTTTAATTAACTATCATTTTACGAATATATCTGATTCTTAAAAGAATAAAAACTGAGGGAAGTCTTTCTAAAAAAAAACGCGAAAATCTATCGCATTTAATGAGTTATAAAATGATGGACTGTTTAAATAATAAATTGATCCATTAATGATTTAACGAGCGAATCTTTGTCGAGTTTCTTTGTGCAGTTCTTATTGATTGAGTCTTCACTTCTCTTAGAGATTATGAGTCAAAGCAATGAAAGAAGTGCGACGACAGTCGACATGGATTTCTTCGAACAACCCGCCTATCTATTGAACAAGCGTCTTTTGTCCATCATTGGGATATGGCCATTTCAGAAGACTCTGTCAAAATTGTTGAGACAAAACATCGTTTTGATTTTCTGCTTTACTCTCTTAATAGCCGAGGTAAAAGGAAAAGAAAAGAAAAAAAAAATATTTATTTCTTATAATAATAGTAAAATTAATGCTAAAATAGAAGCTTATAACTATACTATTTTGTTCGAATGATAGGATGATATTGTAAAAAAAGAAGATTTTTAAAAAAAGGCTAATAATAATAATACATGATAAGATATTAAGAATGATTGTATAAACTTAATTGAAAAAATCAATATATTCCATGCCAAATCATAAATTTTTATATTTTATTCGTTTGTGATAATGCAAGAGAAATTCAATTGAATAATATAATATTTTTATAATTAAATTAGATAAATATATAAAGCATTTTAATCTAAATATATAACATGGTCTTATTTATAGGAAATTTAATCATAATAACAATTGAATAAATTAAAATATATTTTTTATTTGAAAAAAATTATATAGTCATGATCATTCAAGATATTTTATTTCATCCATGTAATATTTAATCCATGTAATTTCATAATGATGGAAGGAATTTCAAACGATGTCAGTATTACAAAATGTCAAATTTATATATTATACATTTAAATATAATTTATTTAAATATTTATGACAATAAAAAATAATTTATTATCTATGGATAGATGAGTTATTTTTATTAATAATTTATGTAAATACGAATTAAATAATAATTTTCTTTAATATATATATAAATACATATGTAATAAATATTTTTAAATGCACTCGCTGTTATAAAAAAATATTTTAACATCTAAAGACATCTAAAGAATTTATTAAAAATTATTAAAAATTATTCAATTATAATAGCGATAATTATTTAATTATTGATTATAAAATATTTGCGATAAAACAATAAAATATGACAACTCGTATGATCTAAAAAGAAATTTATGTTAAATAATATTCAAGATATAATTAATGAAAAAAAGATGAAATTAATATATTATTTTCAATACAATTAATTGATAAGATTTTACAGTGAGCAAGAGTAAAAAACTTATAAAAAAAAATTATATGTGTTCCAGCTTAAATATAATAAAAAGAGTATTCTATTTTTTATATGTTTTATTTCCAATAATTACCTTTTTTTATAATTACAGTATTCATTTGACATATTATTCCTAATAAAAGTTTAAGCGAAACCATACATCAAATAATGGTATTCGTATCTATTGCATTCGTTTTACAAGCAGAATATAAAATGTAAGTATTTATTCATTCAATTGAAAAAAAATTATATTTTTTTAATATTATATATATAAAATATTTGTCTAATTTTTATAATGATATATGAAAATTATTTTTTGACAATTTAAGATAATGAAAATATCGTGATAATGAAAATGATTGAATTAAATTTATTGAATTCTAAGCAAATTATATAAAAACAATATTTAATACTTTTATAGTTATAATTTTAATAATATAATACATTTCAATATTATTAATTAATAACAATTTACTTACTACAAGTTATTAGATAATTAATTATTTCGTTTTATTGTTTCGAATCCAAACTACAAAAGAAATTATTACATTACATTTTAATAATCAAATATAATATAGTATATTAATTTTAAGTTTATATAATATAAGTTTTATTTAAAATTTTTTATTTTTGTCCAAGAAATAATAGTACAAATAACAAATCATATTAAATTATTTTTTTTATAGAATAAATATATTCATTTTTTATAAAGAATATGCATTATTGATTTTTATTTTTTTTTTTTCATAATTTCTACACAAAAAATTATTAGAACATCAAAAACATAAGTAAAAAAAATTAATTATTAAATATATATATATATATATATACATAAGTAAAATTATTAATTATTAAATATATATATGAATAATAGACTTGTTAATTCATTTGAAATTAGCGCTGCATTAGTTCTATTATGCAGACGTTAGATTGTGTTAAAAAACAAGGGACTTTTTTCTTACATTGGTGCCTATGTCAGCTTCCACTCGTATATCCTTCGGTCGTGATTGTTCGATGAGTATAGTTTATGCGAGGTACTTACAAATAATCGGTGTGTCTAGCGATTATCGGAAAAGAAATATCGGTGTCTTGTTTATCGTGAAATATTATTGATACAAATATTTTTTATTAAAGTGACTTCATCTTAATAAAATTCATTATAATTTCTCGTGTGTACCGTAATCATGAATAAGAGGATCAGCGCGATACTATTGGAATATCATGAACATAGTAACAGTGTAATTTAGAAATGGAAAATTAAATTAAGGCATACTTAACAGTGGACAAATGATTTTTATACTTCGTTAGTTTTTGTGTATATGATCAACTGACTGTTGTTGCGTGTCTCGAACGTGCAGCGATACCGTTTTTGAACGCAGAGCTCAGCATGGTGATACGGTAAATAGACCATCGTTTCTGGATGCTTAGGTTAATTAATGTTGTTTGTACATTGTGATTCCTTTATAATTATTGTGCTTGTTCGACATTTCCTTTTTTTTTCAAATCTATTAATTTCAAAGCTTTTTCATTTATTTATTTATGAAATAAATATTTTTATATTATTATTTTTGTAATATATATGATGCTACCTGAATAATATTTTTTCAAAAAATAAATTTTATTAACAGAATTTAATGTCTATTCTTAATATTTTTTTATAGATTAAATATGATGTAAAATTTCTCGAAATCTTTATTTATTGTTAATTTATATTTATATGCACATAAAATATTTATATATATTATGAAAATAACAAATGAATAAATTGATAGATATATTTTGTCCAAAATATTTTAGTTGGCACATGAAATGAAATAAATATTTTTGTTTTATATAAAGTGTCTTATTATTTTCTCCAAAAAAGTACACAAATGTATGTGATAAAAAAAAAATGTTATTAATTATAAATATTGTTTTATTATTTATGTAAAATTTTTAATATTATCAAATTGAAAAATAATTAAATTATTATTAAAAATTTACTTAAATATTGTTTTTTAAATTATTATATTAAATATTTAAAGTAAGGGAAGAGATGTAAATATATTATTTATATTATGTCTATTTATTTTATGATGCATAAAGTAATATAAAATAAATTAGAAATATTTAGATTTAAGATTTAATATTATAAAAAAAATTAAGTATTATTAAAAAAAAAAGTGTTTAACTTATTTAAATGAGAAGCATGTATCATTTAAATAAATATTATTTAGAGTTGCAAATATGCAAGTATCAATTTTCTAATTTATTAGAAATCTTTAATGTAATATGTTTCTTATTCATACTAATGCAATTGATGGGTGCAATGTTTTGATAAAAATGAATATATAGATAAGATAAATATACAATTAGATCAAGGATAGATATATTAATATAATTAATATGATAAATAATGATATATTTTATATTTTGTTTGTAATATGTTATTTTAATTTAAATAAATAAATATTGAAATATAATAAATAAATTTTATTATATTTTTTTTAAACAAAACCAGGTATTTTTACAAAAGATTTATTTATTGTATATAGAAATAATCAATTATTGTATTTTAACAAATACAATATTTTATTTATATATAATTAATAAAACAAAAAAATTTACTTTGATATAATATATTAAGATAACAAATCTTTATTTATTAATGAAATGAATCATTTATTTTTTCTTCAATCAAGAGAATAATTAGATTAATTGAAACTTTTATTAAAACTAGGAGAATGTTAAAATATATAACAATATAGCAATTATCATTACACTAAATATTTCTTATTGCAGATTATAATTACCAATTCACACAGCATCCCATGTTGCACTTGCTCATGTTTGCTCAACTTCGCAAAGATACTTAAGACTGTATGTCTTTATGAGTATCTTTTGAAGTACAGTGGAAGTAGTAATCTGTTAATTTTACTCAAAGGAGGATGCCAGTAACTAAACGTATTCCATGCCCTTCGCGGTAAGTAAGTGGTTTACGTATTACATACTGTAGGACAAGAAAAAACAGAGATCTACAAATAGAGAGAGAGAGAGAGAGGTGACTTAATATTTTATCTTTAATTTTTTCAAATTCTTCTTTTTATATGATTCAAATTATATAATCTTTTTTAAAAAAGAATCTTCTTTAAGATCAATATGAAAATAATAATAACTATTTAAAATAAATATCATAATTTCTAAATTAAAGTTAATTATCAAATAAATTTTGTAATTTCTATCATTTTAAAAATAATAAATTTATAATCTAACTGATACCAATTATGTTACTGACATCCACCTTTAAAATTTAAATAACTTATAATTTAAAAAAAATATAATTAAATAAAAAAAATAAAATTAGGTACTTCCACCATATGAAAGTATTTGTAAAAATATTTATATTCATTATTAGGTTTAAGAATACGAAGAATATTTCAACATATAAGGAACATAACTCTTGTATCAAATTTTACAATGTGGTAAGAAAAGGAAAAGGTGGCAGAAATAGTAATCATTCATTTCTTTTAACATTTATGATCATATTTTATAATAAAATTATTATATATAATATAATATTATGAATATACTGAATATACAATAAAAATAATATTAATTATTAGTTTTGCTATTAATTATTAAATTATATTCTTCCAGATCTGACGGTGGTAGCAGTGAAAGTCCATTACTTGTGGAAGAAGGAGAAACAGTTGGTGCACCTCACAGTCCTCGCAGCAAACATAATCACAATCATTCACATGCTAATCCTCATAGGTCCCACAGTTATCGTCATGAAAAACCAAAACAATTAGTAAAATATGGAGAATTAGTTATTCTGGGGTAAGAAAACAATTTTTTTTTTCTTACATTTTAATGAAAATATTAAAATAAAATAATTCAATTCAATATTACAATTCTAGTTACAATGGATTCCTGCCACCAGGAGATAGAGGAAGAAGGAGAAGTAAATTCGTTTTATTTAAAAGACCTGTTCCAAATGGTGTAAAGCGCAGTAAACATTACATCGTTAAGACACCTCATAGCTCTCAAGCTATTCTTAATACGAAACAACACTCAATTTCATATACTCTTTCGCGGACACAAGCCGTTATCGTCGAGTATACCGAAGATGAAGGAACAGATATGTTTCAGGTAAATTTAATATTTTTTTTTTTTTAATATTGCGTTATATTTATATTATTATTCTATAATATATGTGAATAATATAGGTTGGACGTTCTTCCGAATCTCCTATTGATTTTGTCGTTATGGATACGTGTGCAGGCGGAAGCGATGGTTCTAACGAGGGACGCGTCGCTCAAAGTACAATTAGTAGGTTTGCCTGTCGGATCTTAGCTGATCGATCAGATCCTAGAATTGCTAGAATATATGCTGCAGGTTTTGATAGTTCAAGAAATATCTTCTTAGGGGTAATATTCTTTACATAGTTATAAATTACTATTTCTATAGAATTATAAAAAGAACATAAAAATTGATCGTTTTAGGAAAAAGCAACAAAGTGGCAAGAAAATCGTGAAATTGATGGGCTTACAACAAATGGCGTTTTAATAATGCATCCGCGAGGTCAATTTTGTGGCGGTGAAGCGCAATGTGGTTTCTGGAGAGAAGTTAGTGTAGGTGGTGGAGTTTTTTCGCTAAGAGAAAGTCGAAGTGCCCAGCAAAAAGGAAACGTCGTAGAAGATGAGAATAACATTTTGCAAGATGGAACTTTGATCGATCTCTGTGGTGCCACATTACTTTGGAGATCGGCCGAAGGTCTAGCAAAATCACCAGTAAGATTATAATTTTTTTTAGAAAGACTATAATTTTTACATTCATGAAAACTGAAAATAAAAAAAAAATTTTATATAGACAAAACATGATTTGGAAGAATTAGTTGATGCTATAAATGCTGGAAGACCACAATGTCCTGTTGGTTTAAATACATTAGTTATTCCACGTAAAGCAGCTACAGACTCAACACAACAACAACCATATGTTTATTTAAAATGTGGACATGTACAAGGTCTCCATGATTGGGGTCAAGAAAAAGATAAAGCCACAAGAAGATGTCCAATGTGTCTGGTAGCTGGTTCAGTAGTTAAACTTTCTATGGGAATAGAACCTGCATTTTATGTTGATTGTGGCCCTCCTACTTATGCATTTAGACCTTGTGGACATATGGCTACAGAAAAAACTGTTAAGTTAGTATTGAGAATACTATAATACTTTGTTTTTCATCTGTTTAATAATATATATTTATAATAGGAAAAATATGTGTTACAGATATTGGGAAAAAGTTGCAATTCCACATGGTACAAATGGTTACATTGCAATTTGTCCGTTTTGCGCAGTCCCCCTTGAAGGAACACCAGGATATGTAAAACTAATTTTCCAAGATAATGTAGATTGAACTTCGTTTATTATAAGATCGTGAGTATGTGTAGAAATCATTAACTTCTTATAAAATGCAAGGACTATTGAAATTAATAAAATGTAAATAATCTTAATACGAATATATAACAAAGTTCTGTCTTCTTCCCTCAAACGTAAATTTAAGCAAAACTTTTGTATGTACAAATAGCTCTGCAATAATTATTATGTACATGACTCTTAAAATAAATATCCCTTCTTAAACAGTATTAATTACATATATTTTATCATTAACATTTTTTAATATCTAATAAAACATTTTAATATATCATATTTTAATTTATTTGTCAATTTTTAGAAATTTGAAGCTTTCACAGCTCTGTATCACAGTTATTATTGTTGTTAAGGATTTCGCGTATAAATCTTGTTCTTTAGAAAAAAATTTATGACGTTTCATAAACTTCTAACTGTATCTTTTAATTTCTGATAAAAGTGAGTTATAAAACTTATGAACCGTTAAAATTTTTATTCTTAGAAGGCAATTTATAATCGAAACTTTTTACAGTAATAACTCTGCTGTTTTTTTTTGTTTTACGAATTAACTTGTAAAATATAAGGTTATGAGAAAATGCATGATTGCAGTATTTTGAACCAATAATTATTTAAATGTATATATTTTTAGATCATATCTTCATTTCTTATGCTTATATAATAATCACATAAAATCATGTAATCATATTATAAATATGTAACATTTTCAAATATTATGGATTTATGCTTGAATTATTCTTATGTACATGAAATAACTAGATTTAAAAGTATAATCGATATATCAAGATCAAATAGAATAAGTATATTAGTATATTAATATCTAATAAATTCATTCCTGTTTTTACACTGACAGGTGAATATATCTAATTTTACATAAAGATATATTTCGAAATATTGATATTCTCAATAAAGTGTGATGGACATAATGTACAAATCTTAATTTATATTGAAAAAAAATCTCTATTGAAAAAATGATTCTGCAAATATTTTGTTTCTTTTTGTTCCTTCTTTTTCTTTTAAATACATTGTGCACAAATAAGCACGTGATAATTCATACGAAAAAAAAATGATTGAGCATAATTAAAAATAATAATTAATTTTATCTTTTTCGATCATTAGATCCACTATGACGAGAACGGGATCGACGGTTACGGCTACTACTGCGTGAACGTTTTGATCTGAAACAAATCAAACAATCATTCTTAGCAACTAAAACTATAAAAATCTAATTATGTTTTATTTGTTTACAGATTTCAATTTTGATAGCAAAATGTTATTTGAATTTTCACACGAAACATTTATTATAGAAAATATTAGAATGTAAATTTTCACGATTTTTACCTTTTTCCACGACTGCGACTTCGAGAGCGTGACTTTCTCCTATCCCTATCTCTCCGTTCGCGGTCTCGATCTCTATCGCGATCACGATCACGATCACGATCGCGATCACGATCGCGATCACGGTCACGGTCACGGTCACGATCTCTGTCGCGATCACGATCACGGTCACGATCACGTTCGCGATCGCGATCGCGATCTTTGTCTCTATAAGCCAATCCTCCACGTCGGCTATCACGATCACGTTCACGATCGTCTCTATCTCTATCTCTGCGTCTATCCAATAACGATTCTCTTTTTTCTTTGCGTCGTTCTTCGACGGTTTTTTGAAGTTCTGCTAACTTTTCTCGAATCTTGATAAAGCCTAGATGTAATTTTCCACCGAAATGATCCGCTAATCGTCGATCATTATCATGAATTCCAAGATATGCGCTGCAAACCTCGCAAACTCTTAATTTTTGTTGTTGATAACTGGATGCAGGCATACTATTTCGATATTCTTGTTCAGCCTCATTTTTCTTCTTTCGTAATTCGTCAATCTCACCCATAAGCTTCATGGATTCCTCAACAAAGCCTTCTTCGCCAAGTTGCTCGGCTTTAGCCAATTTTTTGCCAATTTCTTCAGCGAGTACATGAACGTTATTCGCCTTTGCCGCTACTTCAGCGCTAAGTTCTTCTTGCGTTTCCGCGAGACGTTGTTTTGCTTGTTCTGTACGACGATCGCAATCGGCAATAAAATTTTGTAAATGTTCCATAGCCTTGAAATATAAAGAAAAGTATTCGCAAATTATAAAATAAGTTTTGAAAAATATTATAAAATTTAAACTTTCCGTTTAAACTGTCCAATTTATAATATATTTGATATTAAAAAAAAAAAAAAAAAAATACTCACATCGATGTCGTAAAAATGGTCCTTCTTCTTTTGTGCAGCCTCATAGTCAGCCCGTAGGGCCAAGTCGTGAATCTGGGGGCATTCTCCCAGGTCCATGCGCTGCGATTCACAAACCATTTGATATTAGCTTATTATTATATTCAATTTCAAGAAGCCTCATTGGGTTTATTTTATATATATATATATACATATATATACATATAATCCCTCCCGACTTGTTTTATGAAAGATTATATTACGACAAGAACAAGATTCTCAATTGGCTGTTCCGTAAATAGAAACTAAACTAGTTAAATCTTAGATAAAATTAACTAAATTATTTAAAACATAACAACGGCAGAAATTAAAAACCCTAATTATCTAGAAAGATACGTGTAAATATATATTTTTTTCTCCTTCTCTTTTTTTTTTTATTTAGGTATAAGAATATACAAACACTTTCGATATAAATATTCGAGCTTACAAAGTAATTATATCTACGTGTATATATATTTTTATTTAAATCGAATAAATAAATATACTATTATATATTTATTTATTCATACATATATATACACGCATATATACTTACATTCGACCAATATAATATTATCATTATATTTTTTTCTCTTTTTTGTTTATAGACAAAGTAAAAATGCAATTCAATTTACAGATAAATATTTTGTTATGTTCACTTACAGAGTGGTAACACCTCTCCGCCTGACACGACAATGCGATGGCAATGAAGCTACAATCAGCACACACCTTAAGTTCATATGTTCAATGGTCTATGAAACAACTTATAGCCTAATAGGTTTATTATACTATATACGTAGAACACGAAATTGCCATATGTGAATTCTAGACGATTTAGAAAACGAATTCAATACGTACATCCAATGTTGAAGAAAATTTTTCTAATAAAACTGGCGCGTTGTATAGTTCCCCTAAATAAATGTCTCTCTCCCTCTCGCTCACTGTTCATGCCACTTTTCACTCTCTTTTTTTCTCATGGGTAATTTTATCGCCTTGCAAATTGCCAAAATAAACGCTTAATCATTAACGATCATTGTATAATTTTTCTCTTGATTTTAGTTTGTCTCTGTCTCTGTTTCTCTTCCTCTCTCTCATTCACTCATTCATTTATTCGCTCAATCATTCATTCTTTCTTTTTTTTAAATTATCATTATTATTTTCAAATAAAACGGAGATTTAATAGATTTAAAGTTTTATGTGAATATAAACTGAAAGGAATACTATTGCGCGTTACAATAATATGCATTATGATTAATTTCATACATTTCAATTCTACATACTTTCCCTAATGATACACATGTTTGAAAGAATGATAAATTGGAAAATATTTGAATTTTAACATCACAAGATTAACATAAACTAAAACCTCGATTGAAGATTTCATTAAATTAATCGTTTACATTTTTTTTTTTTTTTTACAAATTGAAAGTTAATCAAAAAATTTTTTGAATGAATTGTAATAGTATTGAAACTTATCCATCTATATGACAAATTTACATGAATTAACCAATCGAAGTTTTATTATATATTAATTAATTAAAGAAGACAAATTTTGGTTTTAAAAAAGAAATATTTACAATTCCGAGACTCAATTCTTCAAAAAAAAAAAAAAA